ATCAAGCTACCAATGACTTTTTTCACAGAATTGGAAAAAAACCACCTTAAACTTCATATAGAACTAAAAGAGAGCCTGCATAGCCAAGACAATCCTAAGCCAAAAAGAAAAAAAGCTGGAGGCATCACACTACCTGACTTCAAACTATATTACAAGGCTACTGTAATCAAAACACCATGGTACTGATACCAAAACAGAAATATAGACCAATGGAATAGAACAGAGGCCTCGGAAAGAATGCCACACAACTACAGCCATCTGATCTTTGACAAAAACAAGCAATGGGGAAAGGATTTCCTATTTAATAAATGGTGTTGTAAAAAACTGGCTAGCTATATGCAGAAAGCTGAAACTGGATCCCTTCCTTACACTTTATACAAAAATTAATGCTAGATGGATTAAAGATTTAAACATGAGGCCTAATACCATAAAAACTCAGGAAGAAAACCTAGGCAATACCATTCAGGACACAGGCATGGGCAAGGACTTCATGACTAAAACACCAAAAACAATGGTAACAAATGCCAAAATAGACAAATGGGATCTAATTAAACTTAAGAGCTTCTACAAAGCAGAAGAAATTATCAGTAGAGTAAATTGGCAACCAACAGAATGGGAAAAAATGTTTGCAATCTGTCCATCTGACAAAGGGCTAATATCCAGAATCTACAGAGAACTTAAACAAATTTATAAGAAAAAAACAACCCCCTCAAAAGGTGGGCAAAGCATATGAATAGACAGTTTTCAAAAGAAGACATTTATGCAGCCAACAAACATATGAACAAAAGCTCATCATCACTGGTTATTAGATCAATACAAATGAAAACCCCTGAGATACCACCTCACACCAGTTAGAATGGCGATCATTAAAAAATCAGGAGACATCAGATGCTGGAGAGGATGTGGAGAAATAGGAACGCTTTTACATTGTTGGTGGGAGTGTAAATTAATTCAACAATTGTGGAAGACAGTGTGGTGATTTCTCAAGGATCTAGACATAGAAATACAATTTGACCCAGCAATCCCATTGCTGGGTACATACCCAAAGGATTATAAATCATTCTATTATAAAGACACATGCACATTTTTACAGCACTTTTCACAATAGCAAAGACTTGGAACCAACCCAAATGCCCATCAATGATAGACTGGATAAAAAACATGTGGCACATATACACCATGGAATACTATGCAGCCATAAAAAAGGATGAGTTTATGTCCTTTTTCAAGGACATGGATGAAACTGGAAACCATCATTCTCAGCAAACTGACACAAGAACAGAAAACCAAATGCCGCATGTTCTCACTCATAAGTGCGTGTTGAACAATGAGAACACATGGACACAGGGAGGGGAACATTACCCAATTGGGCCTGGGGGGTGGGGGGCTAAGGGAGCAGGTGGTGGGAGGATTGGAAAGGGATAGTATTAGGAGAAATACCTCATGTAGATGATGGGGTGATGGATGCAGCAACCCACCACCATGGCACATGTATTCCTATGTAACAAACCTGCACGATCTGCATATGTACCTCAGAACTTAAAGTATAACAAATAAATTTTAAAAAATTAAAAATAAATAAATAAAACCTAGAAGACAGCTATCTGTGGGGGGAAAAAAAACCCTCCTAGATTAAACCAGGAAGAAATAGAAACTCTGAACAGACCAATAAAAAGCAGTGAGATTGAAATGGTAATCTAAAAACTACCAACAAAAAGAGTTCAGAACCAGACAGATTCACAGCTGAATTCTATCAGGAATTCAAAGAAGAATTGTTACCAATCCTATTGACAGTATTCCACAGGATAGAGAAAGAAGGAATCCTCCCTAAATTTTCTATAATGCCAGTATCAGTCTAATACCCAAACCAGGGAAGGACATAACAAAAAAAGAAAACTTTTTGGAAAGGCCTAGCCACAGACCAATATCCCTGATGAACTTAGAAGCAAAAATCTTTAACAAAATACCAGCTAACAGAATCTAACGGAAGATCAGAAAGATAATGCACCATGGTAAAGTGGGTTTCATACCAGGGGTGTAGGGATGATTTAACATCCACCAGTCAATAAATACACCACAAAAACAGAATGAAAAAAATCATATGATCATCTTAACAGATGCAGAAAAGGCATTTGATAAAATCCGGCATCACTTTATGATTAAAACCCTCAGTAAAATTGGCAGAGAAGAGACACACCTTAAAGTAACAAAAGCTATCTATGGCAAACCCACAGCTAACATTTTATTGAATGAGGAAAAGTTGAAAGCATTCCCCCTGAAATTTGAACAAGATAAGGATGCCTACTTTGGAACAAAACATAGTACTGGTAGTCCTAGCCAGAGCAATCAGACAAGAGAAAAAAAATCAAGGGCATACAAATTGATAAAAAGGAAGTCAAACTATCACTGTTTAGAGATGATATAACTGTAAACATAGAAATCCCTAAGGGACTCATCCAAAAAGCTCCATAAACTAGTGAATGAATTCAGCAAAGTTTCAAGATACAAAATCAATGTATACAAATCAGTAGCTCTGTTACAAATCAACAATGACTAAGCTGAGAATCAAATCAAGAACTCAACCGCTTTTAAAATAGCTGTCAAACAATAAAATAATTCTTAGGAATATACCTAACAAAGGAGTTGAAAGACATCTACAAGGAAAACTACAAAACACTGTGGGAAGAATCATAGATGATGAAAAGAAGTGGAAACACATTCCAGGCTCACGGATGAGTAGAATCAATATTGTGAAAATGACGATACTGCCAAAAGCAACCTACAAATTCAATGCAACTCCTATCAAAATACCACTATCATTCTTCACAGAACCAGAAAAAACAATCTTAAAATTCACATGGAACCGCATAAGAGCCTTCATAGCCACAGTAAGACTAAGCAAAACAAACAAATCTAGAGATATCACCTTACCTGACTTCAACTATAGAATAAGGCCATAGTCACCAAAACAGCATGGTACTGGTATAAAAATAAGCACATAGACCAATAGAACACAATAGAGAACTCAGAGCCAAATACTTACAGCCAACTGATATTTGACAAACCAAACAAAAATATAAACTGGGGAAAGAATACCCTAATCAACAAATGGTCCTGGGATAATTGCCAAGTCACATGCAGAAGAATGAAACTGGATTCTGATCTCTCACCTCATATGAAAATCAACTCAAGATGGATCAAAGACTTAAATATAAGACGTGAAACCATAAAAATTCTAGAAGATAACATTGGAAAAGCTATTCTAGACATTGGCTTCGGCAAAGACTTCATGAACAAGAACCTGAAAGTAAATACAACAAAAGCAAAGATAGATGGGACTGAATTAAACTTAAACATTTTGGCACAGCAAAAGAAATATCAGCAGAGTTAATACACAATCCACAGAACAGCAGAAAATCTTCACAATCTGTACATCTGACAAAAGACTAATATACTGAATCTACAAAGAACTCAAACAAATCAGAAAGACAAAAACCAAACAATCCCATCAAAAAGTGGGCTAAGGACATGCATAGGCAATTCTCAAAAGAAGAAATAGAAATGGCCAACAAGCATATGGAAAAATGCTCAACATCACTAATTATCAGGAAAATGCAAATCAAAACCACAATATGATATCACCTCACTCCTCCAAGAATGGCCATAATAAAAAAATTAAAAATAATAAGTATTGATTTGGATGTGGTGAAAAGGGAACACTTTTACGCTGTTTGAGGAAATGTACACTAGTACAACCACTATGGAAAACAGTGGGAGATATCTTAAATAATTAAAAGTGGATCTGCCATTTGATCCAGCAATCCCATTCTAGGTACCTAGCCAGAGAAAAAGAGTATACAAAAAAATGTACTTGCACATGCCTGTTTATAGTAGCATAATTTGCAATTGCAAAAATATGGAACCAGCCCAAATGCCCATCAATCAATGAGTGGCTAAAGGAAATATGGTATATGTATATTATATATCAGCCATAAAATGAATGAAATAATGGCATTCACAGTAACCTGGATGGAATTGGAGACTACTATGCTAAGTGAAGTAACTCAGGAATGAAAAACCAAACATCAAACGTTCACACTCATAATTGGGAAAAAAGTTATGAGGATTCAAAGGAATAAGAATGATCCAATAGACTTAGGAGACTAAGGGGAAAGGATGGGAGGTTGGTGATGGATAAAAGTCTACACATTGGGTATGGTGCACACTGCTTGGTTGATGGGTGCACCAAAATCTCAGAAATCACTATTGAGCATTTATTCATGTAACAAACATCACTTATTTCCCAAAATCCTACTGAAATAACAAAAAATAAATTTAAAATATTTGTTAATGGCCTTTGGCCTCTGGAGTTTACAATCCTACTTTTTGCCAACATAAACCACAATTTTCTGATTTTTCTTTTATTCAGAATGCACTCTTAATCTAAGATTCCCAGTTGTAGAGTCTGAATTCTCATTCCCTTTTGCATTAACTCCTGACAATAGTTAGCTGCTCAGCCTTACAGGACCAGGCAGTGGGAAGTGGCACAGTTAATGTCAGCTTCTGTTGTTTTACACAACAGAAGATTGTTGTATAAATCTTAGGAATCTGACCAGATTCCTAAGGCTCCTAATATACTTAAGGCCAGTCCTAAATAATGCCTCCATTTAGAAGGAAGGCCCTCCACTCTGCCTATATCTGGAAGAAACTTTGTTCTTTTTCTGAAAGAAGGAAAATTTTAGATACTACCTTTCTGTTAGAAAGGGTATAATATAAATATGATGATTCTTTGCTCTTAATAGATTGACTTTCACAAAAATTAACAATCAAATTCTCTTCTAAGTCACTCATTGTCCTGTGTCTTATTATTTTCATTTATCAAAAAAGGCAATGATTCTTATATCTTTTTATACATTCTTATAGTTAAAAATTAATTACATTTTCTTTAAGCCTTAACATAAATATTTACATGTTAAATTTGTAATCTATATTTATCATACCTAGTGATCGCATAATCAATGAATGGAAGCCAATTGCAAGTGCTTTCAATTCAGGTTGAACAGTCCTGCAATATGATTAAGGCAAAGAAACAATACACGTCATTAAAATATCAAACTAAGTTAATATCAAAACATTTATCAGTATCATTTTTCTTTATGGCAGAATGAGAACACTTAAGTGAATGGCCCACATTAAATAAAATTATATTTTCAATTGTTTTAAAAGCAAAAACATGGGTGGTAACAGTAATTATTATTATTTCCTTATTTATTTTATGCTTTATGATTTCAGGACAGTTTAACAAATATTTTCACTTTTGATCCTTATGAAAATTCTATTAAAAAGTGGTGAACACATTTGTTATGCTTACGAAGAAATGATTTTGTGTGGACTATTTAGATAAGGTAACTCACATGAAAATATTATAGACCTTTATCCAAAAGTAATTCTTAGTAGTCCTCTTTTTGTCAGGTTATTTCTGTCATCAGTGTTAACAGAGTAGTTTACTAATATGATTCATAAATTATATAATACAACCAGAAGGATCAAAAAACTTTTCTGTATTTTAGTGTCTTGTATATTTAACTATCATATTAAAGATAAAGAATACACTTGTATTCTCACATAGAAATTAACTCACTCTTGCATTTCCCCAATTCCATTTTTCTGTGTTCAATAAACTGATGACACTACCATCCCTGTGGTAACTTAGTACATACCAAGTGAAATGAAATTATCTTGCATTAGTGGAGGTGGTGAATTGGTATAAGTGGGGTGACTGTGACTCAAAAAGCCCTGTTGTACTGAAATAATAAATTAACTGATGTAAAAGTTGTTTTTCCTTGAACTCTTGGACAGTTATTTGTTCAGAGAGCGAAGTAGCTGTCATCAATCAACAAACGTTCACTAAGCAACTAATAAGAGATACTATGCTAGTTAATGGTCTTGGGAGTAAATAGACAAATTATGCTTCTTATCATCTAAGTGACTTGGAGAAGTATATCTTTTAATCTTTCTTAGCCTCAGTTTCCTTGTTTGCTAAATGAGGATAATAATGCTTATCTCGTGTTATAAGAATTCAATAAAATGAGCTAGCACTCCAAACTTCAATTTCATTTACACATAATTGCCACTTTTTCTTACAAAACAGTTATCATTAATTGAGATTCTGAAAATAATTCAACAGAATTTATAAAATTTTAAAAGTCAAAAATTAAATAAAACATAATATAGTAACAGTTAAATATAAGAGAGTTATATATTAGGAGAGACAATAAATGGAAAGTGTGTTTTGGCTCTGCTTTCACCAAATACAGAAGGACTTTGTTAGCCCAGTTGAGAGCACAACACCACACTGAAGACAATGAATCCATGTCTGCTATTTAAGGAGGAAGTTTATTTCATAAAGAGATGGTCAGGAGAAAATCAGCAGGAAGGAGAGGTTAACTTTTCTATCGAGATATTACTCTCAAATATCAGATTGCACTTTGTATACTACACACACAAGGCAAACTGACATGTGTTATCAACTTGCATTTTCACCCTGGGAAAGGGTAAGCATGCAGGAGATTTGAAGGACTTGCAGATAGGGTGAGTATTTTTCTAAGAGCGGGCCTGAGATCTTAAATTCGGTGGAAATGATGAATGTGTGTAATATAATAACATATATATACAAGAAAAATCACACATACTCATTCACATGAGTGCACACTCACACTACTCCCTTCATGCTGATACTCACATGTTCACTTGCATGCACACACCCATGCTCTGTTATCATGTAAGATACATATGACTGTAGTGTGACTCCTGCTTCATATATGATATCGAGCATCTCTGGATTTTCATGGACATCTTCCGGGATGACTTCATTACAAAAAGCACCCCGAGAAGTTAAAGTTAAATGTGTTATTTCATTTGAGTCAAGAACAACACAGACTCAAAACTGGCAGATTAAAGTAATAACAAAGAACAAAAGTAAATGAAATGTGGGCAAAAAATTTACAAAGGATCAGTGAAATAAAAAGTTGGTTATTTGAAAATATAAAGAAGATTGTTAGATGCTAGTAGATTAATCATAAAAAAGAAGATTCAAATAAGCACAATCAGAAATGATAAAGGGAACATTAAAACTATTAGCACAGCAATACAAAAGATCATCAGAGACTACTATGTACATCTCTACATATACAAAATAGAAAACCTGGAGAAAATTGATAAATTCCTGGAAACATACAACCTCCAGAATTTGAACCAAAAGAAATAGAAACACTGAGCAAACAAACAATGAGTAATGAAACTGAATCAGTAATAAAACAATCTCTAGCAACAACAACAAAAAGTGCAAGAACAGTTGACATCACTGACAAATTCTACCAAAGAAACAAGGAAGAAATGATACCAATTCTAATAAAACTGTTCTAAAAAAATCAAGAAAGAATCCTCCCTAACTCATTCTACAACATCAGCATCACCCTGACACCAAAACTGGGCAAGAAAACAGCAAATAAAACATGAAACTACAGACCAATATTCCTGATGAACATAGATCCAAATATCTTCAACAAAACAGTGGAAAATTAAGTTCAATAGCACATCAAAAGATTTCTCACAATGATGAAATGGGATTTATTATTGAAATGCAAGGATGGGTCAACATATACAAATCAATATATGTGATTCATCAAATTAATATAATTAAAACCAAAAAGCATATGATAAAATCAATTGATACAGAAAAAGCACTTCATAAAATCAAGCATCCCTTTATGATAAAAACCATTACTAAACTAGGCATAGAAGAAACAAACTTCAAAATAATGAAAGCCATAAAAAGCAAACCACAGCCTACAACATATGGAGTAAAGGGAAATTGTAAGCATTACTTCTAAGAATGGGAACAAAATGAGGATGCTTATTTTCATCACTCCTGTTGAACATAGTATTGGGAGTTCTATCTAGAGCAATCACGCAAAGAAAAGAATAAAAGGTATCCAAAGATATCCAAATTGGAAAACAAGTGTTCAAATTATTTCTGTTCATTTATGATATAATCTCATACCTAGAAAATCCTAAACACTCCTCTGAAAGTCTCCTAGACTTGATAAGCTACTTCAGTAAAGTTTCAGGATACAAAACCAATGTACAAAGTGAGTATCACTTCCATACACGAATAATGATCTAGTTGAGAACCAAATCAACAAGTGAATCCCAATACAGTTATCTATCTTACAGATAACTGATAGATAATATAGTTGTCTATAATAAGATTTGTTTTACTGATAGATATAATCAATAAAAAAAATAGGAATACATTTAACCAAAGAGGTAAAAAATCTCTACAAAAAGAACGGATGAAAAAAGTCATATATCACACAAACAAATGGAAAAATTTCCCATGATTATGAATTAGAATAATGAGTATTGTGTGAAATGACCATCCTGCCCAAAGCAATCTATAGATACAATGCAATTTCTATTAAATTATCAATTTCAATTGTTATAGAATTAGAAAAAAAATTAAAATTCACCTGACTTTATATTACAAGCCTATAAGCCAAAATAAACACTACTAGTATAAAAATAGATGCATAGATTAATGGAACAGACTACAGAAGCCAGAGACAAAGCCGCATACCTACAACATAGTCATCTTTGACAAAGGCAAAAAAATATGTACACTGAGGAAAGGACACCATATTCAATAAATGGTGCTGGGAAAGTTGTAGAGTCATATATGCAGACATAAAATTGAATCCATATCTCTTGCCATATATAAAAATTAACTCAAAATTGATTAAAGATGTAAACGTAAAGCCTGAAATTCTAGAAAATTTTAGGGGAAAATCTAGGAAAAACTCTTCTGGACATTGTTCTAGGCAAAGAATTTATGACGATGTCCTCAAAAGGAAATGCAACTGCAACAACAAATATACACCAATTAAACTTAATTAAACTAAAAACCTTCTGCTCAGTAAAAGATATAACCAACAGAGGACACAGACAAACCACAGAATAGAAGAAAATATTTGTAAACCATGCATCTGATAAAGTGCTAATATCCATAATATACGACAAACTCAAATAACTGAAAAAAAAAAGATAATGAACCTCATTAAAAAGTGGTCATAGGAAATGAACAGACATTTTTCAAAGGAAGACATACAAGTGTTCAATAAACATATAAAAAATCCCCAACATCACTAATCATCAGATAAATTAAAATTAAAATCACAGTATCATCTTATGCCCTTATCATAGCTATTATTACATAGTCAAAAAACAAATACTTTGATAAGACTTGCAGTCAGGATCAAAATTTAACATCTGTATATTTAGTTTACAGGTTTATTTTCATGTTAACAAAATTTTAAAATACATTGTTGGTTTTTTGTTTCCTAACATGTCATGCTGTTGGCTGACTGTGAATGTGATCAACCAATAGGTTTTAAAAGTACAATTAGCAGTTAACTCAGCTCACTCTACTTATCATGTATATTTCTAAGATTTACATGCCTGTCTTTACATGTTTCCGGTTTTAGATGATTGAATTATTATATTGTCCATTAGGGCACACATTATCTGCTTCCTCCCTAACTCTCCAAACTTACCTTGCGCCACACCCCCCTCACTCCATATGATCCAATGAACTGGATTTTTTTTCATTCTTCAAACAAACTGCTGTTTCTTGTTTTAAGGAATCAGCAGCTAGATACTCTCCCTGAAAGCCCTTCATCTGGCTTTTTCTTTACACCCTTAGATAAAATATCACTTCTTTTAAGATGTACTTTGTACGTCCTTTCCTTCATATCCTTTCATTTCGATCCAAACTTTAGTTTGTCTTTTTATTCCCTTTATTAGCAGTCTTTTTCCTTAAGATGAAGGACAATTTGTAATTATTTGTTTACACATCACTTGTTTTTCTAAGCTATGAAACAACAGGTACCTTATTGGTTTTACTTACCAGCATTCTTCATTAAGCATCACATCCTGTCTAAATATCTGTTTAATGAGTGAATAAAGGAATTAATTATTTACATATATTTTTCTACTGTCTACAAGAGTCTTATGGGATACTAGGTCAAAAGCCATGCTGTGGGAGAATTAAAAGCATTAGAATTTCATTGCACACTGAAGTTTATATTTATATCCTGTTGAAAATGTTTTTTTCAATGAAATCAACAGATGATTTTCTCTAACTGGCCCACTAAGGTCCAAAGCAACTCACAGTTAAAAGTTCTTTTTGAATCATTAAGGGATTCTTTTACAATTGAGGCAATTGCCAATCAGCGTGTTTCTTAAGAGTCTTATTAAAAGAAAAACATATAGAGGATAAATATCACAATGGAAGCATTACAGACAAAATTATATTATTAATGATGGCATTGAAAGATCATAATAATTCTAAGAAAAAGAATTCCCAGAAAATTAAAATGTAACAAATTATGAATCTGAGCTAAAATATGGAAACTACATACATAATTGGGTGTGTTATTAGTTCAATATACATGATAATGTTTTATAACATCATACTTACCTAATCACCAGCACGGAATATGAAGTAAGTCCAATGGCACAGAGGAAAGAATTTAAAACTAGAACTGCAAAATAAATGCAATAATTCCTTGCACAAGCATCATCTCTTGGGCATTCACCCAAGTGCGCCGAGTAACTTTTGTTCTGGAGACCAATTACTTCCACACAGCTACGGTTATAAAATACCTAAAAATAGTTTTTGAAATATTACCAAATACATTCGCCAAATGCAACCAGGCTATGAATACATTCCATTATATTTAAGGAAGTCTCAAACAAAAATATTTACAATTTAAAAAATATTATAAAAATATAGTTATTTAATAATAAAAGGCAAAATTGCTTCCTGAACTGCTTTCTGTATAAAATAATAGAATTAACTATTAACATTTAATAAATTCTGAATTTTAAAACTGAGAATTTAAGAAAGTAGTACATGAAACTGTATATAATTTTCTCATTAATATAAATTGTTTTCAATATTGCTCTTTCGCCTACATTTACTTCCTAAAATATGCGTTCTTACTTAGATGATCTCTACTAAGTATTAAGGACATGTCCTGGGAAGGATTACCCCCAAAATTCAGAAAATACGGCAGTTTGAAAGGGGCTAAAATGTGAAACTAGAGCCACTCATGAAAATAGGAAAGAGTACAGAGGAAATAGAGGTGGCATAGATGCCAGAATTCTCTTTAAGCAGGCAAAAGCAGCATTCAAGACCATAATGACAGATAATAAAATAGATTATATTATTACCAGAGAGGTCCAACACAACAGAATGTCCTGACTAATGGTAAGAGTACAGAAGGGGAACATTAGGATCAAGTGATCTGAGAGGTTTAATCAGGCAGTGTTTCTAAGTAGGTGGCTCTAAAAACAATTCTATTCTGATTCTAGGCTAAACAAAAGTTTAAGGGAAGTTCACCTTGAACCTACTAGCTCTAAAGATTAATTACTGAAAGAGGAATTGTAAAAGAATTCAAATCTCTACTTTTATGGTTGCACCAAGCTTCCTTTTTCCTCCTTTTTTCACTAAGAATAATATGGTGCAATCTTTTATGGAGCAAGCACACTGGCCAATAAAACCAAACTTTGATATAGAGAACATTGTTTTAAAACACGATTTTGTTTTTTTAAATTTTTACTGAGAATTTAGTAAAGGAACTTTGCAGTAGCCTTCAGATGGCATAGCTATTGCCCATATTAAGAAGTTGTCTCCATGTAGACAGAGCTCTTTTCAGGATTCTAATATTATGTTTTTTTCAGAGCTTCACTACTGGACAAAGTGAAACCAGGGATTAAACGGGATCACCCTTACTGAAAAACATAATAGCCCATGAATATGAGATGTGGGCTTTTAAGTATAGTCTTTGGGCCATATATGTTGTGCAAGTTTATTAAACTTATGGGCTATTTTAAAGCAACCTAGGATGGTTTATTTCTTCAAATTTCTCCATGCCTTTCCATAATATATTGGTATGACAATGGGCAAGGGAAAGATGAAAAATGTTTAAAAATGAAACGTAGAAGAGTGTGTAGAGAGCAATTATCATAGCTGACAATATTGCTAAATTTGGTAATAGGAAAATCGCCAGAAAAGTGATTACACAACTTTGTGAGATGTTGAGTGAATTGTAGGTATGGGGAACAGCCAATTTCCAACTATTCGAAGTTACCCAGGATATTGGGAAAAACCCGTGGCTCACATGTAAAAAAAAAAGCTTTTGAGTGAAGAAGGAAATTTAATTTCTAATGGATATGTTGGCAATAAGAAGGCAGGATACTAAGAGAAGTAACAGAAGTGCCAGCTTTGAGGAAATCAAAATAGGAAATCGAGAATTGGGCAGTCACGTGAGCATGGATCCTTGATTAATTTATTGGAAAGTCAAGAGCCCAGGTGAACCCCTAGCTAAACTCATCAGGATGTATACATAAAAATGCACATAGATTGTTGTCCTAGTAAAGTAGGTAGTGCTGACAACAGGTTAATCAGGACTTTCCCCTAACTTCTGATAGATAAATTAATTCCAAATTAATTGAAATCATGTGCTTCAGTCAAATCAGATGCTTCTTAGAAATCCTAAGTGGATTAAATTCTAAGAGGTCATATTTCTACACTCTCAAGAAAAAACTGGGGTAATCTCAAATGAGAATTCAAGTAACAGAAAAACTTGGTAAGTCCTAAGCTGGACTTTATGTGAAGTTTTATTTATATTTCACAGCCATCACAATGACAGATAATATTAGGATCTTTTACTTTGATCTTTATACTGGAGACCTTACTTACAGGAAGATACGATAAGTAATAAATAAAAATCAAATCTGTGATTTTGATTGAGGAGAGAAGAAAAGGCAAAAATAAATACTCACTATGGGCTTTTTATAACCACTTGAGTATTTGCATCCTGCTAGACAAGGCGACAGGTAAGTTATTCCATTGTTCCCACAGACTGGTTCCCATTGATTTTTATCACAATTGCACTCTGAGTTGCAATAAGAAAGTGGTACATCTACATGAAATCTTACTGGACTACTTCTGAAAATATATGATAGACATATATCAAAAAGAGACAGAAGAGAGAGGAAGAAGAGAGGAGAAGGAAGTGAGAGATGAGGGGGAGTAGAGGGGAAATAAAGGAGGAGGGAAAAGAAGAGGGAAAGAGAAGAGAAATGGAATAAAGGGTTTTCTTTAATTAGATAAAAAAATTTAATTTGATGATGCCAAAATGATTTTTTAAAAATACTACGGCCGGGCGCGGTGGCTCAAGCTTGTAATCCCAGCACTTTGGGAGGCCGAGGCGGGTGGATCACGAGGTCAAGAGATCGAGACCATCCTGGTCAACATGGTGAAACCCTGTCTCTACTAAAAATACAAAAAATTAGCTGGGCATGGTGGTGCGTGCCTGTAATCCCAGCTACTCAGGAGGCTGAGGCAGGAGAATTGCCTGAACCCGGGAGGCAGAGGTTGTGGTGAGCCGAGATTGCGCCATTGCACTCCAGCCTGGGTAACAAGAGCGAAACTCCATCTCAAAAAAAAAAAAAAAAAAAACTTTTATTTTTTTTTAACACTTTTAATTACCCTTCTTTACCAAGATATGATTTATTACCTAGAAAAAGTAAAATTTAAAAAAAGAAATAAGAGATAAGACTTAGACAAGGGGTTGTTATGATTCTATCAAGAAGGTTCACATTAAATAAGTACTTTTATTTTTCTAGATTCAGTTTTTCTTTGGTAAGGTAATGGCATTAATTTCTTCACAGCTCACTATAAAGTTATATATATATTTTACTTCATATATATATTGCAAATATATATATATATATTCTGCATATATAAAGAGTTCTGTATAAAAGTTCTGTGTGTGTATATATATATAATATATATACATATATATTTTTAGACAGAGTCTTGCTCTGTCACCAGGCTGGAGTGCAGTGGCTCGATCTCGCCTCACTGCAGTCACTGCCTCCCGGGTTCAAGTGATTCCCCTGCTTCAGCCTCTCAAGAAGCTGGGACTACAGGCGTGCACCACCATGCCTGGCTAATTTTTTGTATTTTAGTAGAGATGGGGTTTCACCATGTCGGCCAGGATGATCTTGATCTCCTGACCTAGCGATCTGTCCGCCTCAGTCTCCCAAAGTGATGAGATTACAGGCATGAGTCACAGTGCCTGATCAAGTTCTGTATATTTTTAAAGCAAAACTATAGTATTTTTATACTGATTTACTTTATTATATGGCTATAAATTATTAAATATAATTTTATATCATGGCTAAAACTATAAAGCATATTGTTTGTATAAATTTTCTCCTTTAAGATTTTAAAAGTTGTTTTGTTTTGCAAAAATTTGTTAATGATTGAGGATTGATGAAGTATCTTGGAATGAGTATGTAATTTAAATTAAGAAAAAAGTAGATTAGTACTTTAGAAAACACATTATTAATAATTTCATTTAAAGTTATCTAATACATTATTCTGTTTGAGGACATACTACTGAGATTAGTTATGGAGAATGGTTTATGATTGCTGTGGTCTAAATATTTGGGCCCCTCCCCAAATAAATGAATTAAAATCTGATCTCCTATGTGAAGGTATTAAGAGATAGGGCTGTCAAGATGTGATTTGGTCATGAGGGTGAATCCAAAAGGCAAAGTCTTTCTATCGTTATAAAAATAGGTTAGAATTTGTGGATCCCTTGATAAAGTCTTAAGGCCTCTTAGAGACAATCAGAGATAATTCTGAGACCTCTGTTATATTTACAAAACAGGTTCTAGTGAATAGGGCTTCATAAACATTGGATACATTGATTTTATTATTTGCTATTATTAGATTATGAGTTCTATGAGAAAATTGATGTATCCTACAAATAATCACCTTTCAGGAAGGACCCAGTAAATTTAATTAAATTGAACAAATCCTGTATAACTCTTGCTGCCATCTTTTTAACAGATGACACAGTTACTATACTTGTTTCCAGGAAACTAGCTTTATGCTAAAGCCTGCCTTGAAAAACAGGAAGACTTTGAAACTAATGGTGTGATATGAGATCAATAGGGAGTCATCGTGTGACTTTAAGCAAGTCATAATTCTCTAGGTCTCAAATAATAAAGGAAATGATATATGGAAGTTGGGCTGCATGATCTCTAAGTTTCTTTTACCTCTAAAATCCAGTTCTCTAGGTACAATGTTTATTGACTCACCAAAGTAGGTGATGGTTGATAGGAAAAATCAAAAACGGTTTAGATTTAGGGAGATGCAGAAAATAATTCATGATTAGTTTAGCAAGCCTCCAAGAACAGAATGTTATTTAGATAAGAAAATGATAATATTTGACAAATTAAAATCAACACCTCATAAAATCCAGAGTTTTGCAGCTCAGAACCAAGAGTAAGCAGCACTAAATAACATGGTTATTGAACTGTAATCTGAGTATCTTTGCTTTTTGCTCGACTTTGAACCTTCCTAAGCTTAAACTGTTGGCTATATTCAATTAAAAGTCTGTGTAGGCATCTTGCTCTTGATTTGGTGTAGAGACTGTAGTGCTAAAAACATTTGACAAAACATGATAATAATGAAAAAGTAAGAATATTCCAAGATCTCACATAAAATTATAAACAGAATATATCTTAATGCTATTTCCAATGTAGACTCCCGGAAGAAAAAAAAAAGTATCTTGCAGAAAGGAGAATTAAGTACAATGTGAAAAAGTGTTATTTCATAAAGACAGTTGTTAATATAAAAAAACTGTAGATAAAAGTTATTCAGTCGCTTTTGGAGAATGTAATTTATGTTACTGTTATGATACATCCCAAATTTTAATACTTAAGACTAAGAGTTTTGGAGTCAAACCCCCTAAATTTCAGCCAGAATCAACATTGTTAGCCAAATAATTTATGTATTTTCTAAACTTCACTTTCCCATTTATAAAATGGGGTAAAAGTACCCACCACACATTATAATTACCCATGAATTGTAATTATTATTTCATAGGTATTATTATTTCAACCTATGTTGCTTTTCTTTAATGAAGGAACAAAATAACTTTAAGGTCTCAGGGAGTGAACATTTTAAGAATTTTAAAAATGAATTTTCTCTCAATGAAAAGAAAGTTTAATTACAATTGTATTCTACCTTATTTTCCTTACACATAGTCTTTTAATTGGATGGTTAACATATTATGAAATTGACATAATGATATATACAAACCCATCATAGGTCAAGGTTAGGCCAGCAACTGATTTGCTTTCAAAGAGTAGGATTAAATGTGAAAGTTGAGCTAAGAGATGCATTGTTGCAGAACAAAATACCAAGTTGGCAAGTCCAACTAAAGACAATTTGAATTTTTTAATGATATATCCTTCTAAAAACATGCCAATTGCAATAACAGGTATAGATAGGACTCCTAGAAATGAAAGAAGAGAAAAAAGCTGTAAACATATATTCATACATGTATATAACTGTTTTTTTCTAATATGTCTTTACATATGAAACACAGTATGAAATCAGAAGAATCAAATTCATCCCATCTTATCACTTTTTTAAGAGGAGGGTGCAGACTAAGGTGGAGGTAGGGAACCAGTGTACCATATAAAACAGACAAAATAATTTCTTCCTGACAGTTCTGAGGGTTTGGTTTCTTCAAAAGCAAAAGGCAATGGCTAAGAATATTTGTGTGTCTGAACAGATTATTTCTATGAAGCATGTTCTTTATTTCTGGAAATCAACAACAAAACAAAATCTTTTTTTACTATGAGATTTTGAGCCTGCCATCTAAAATTCTGTACATCTCTCAAAGTACAGTTCCAACCCTCAATAACTTACTTCAAATTTTCCCAGAGATTTATAACTGAATTCCTGAAGTAATATCTCATCACTATTCATCAAAATACATACATACGCTGGTATGATAAGATCAACATACAGAATTAAAAATGGTTAATTCCTCCTACAATTTTTCCACGTCGTTGTCCTGTAAGAGTTATTAAAAATAAAGATTCCTGTAACAAAAAATTCAGATCAAGTTATTGGGAGCCAAAACTTAACTTTTAAGTTTAAACTTTTAGGTTCAACAGGGAGATCATCCAGATGCCTGGTCTAGTGCTTCAGGACATATATTTTCTAATTACTATTTTCTTTTGTGCTCAGGACCTAGTCACATACCACTTGATAAATTTTTAACTCATCACATATTTATCAAATTTCTACAATGTTTCTATAAATTGATAGTTTTGTATAATAGAAAGGTTTTTAGAATAGTTTTTACAAAGCGATATAACTTCTTAATGAGCAGATCTCAATGACACTGAAAATAGATACTGTAGCAAAATATACTCTCTAAAATGTGATATTTTGAATAATGCATATTTTGTGATGCATTTAAACTGATTCTTTTTATTAAAAATGTCAATATCATATGTTTTGTAAGTAGGTGAGGCCTTAGTTCAATTTCATGAATTATAGGATTATAATGGTTATGTTACAAAAGGGTTTGTCTCAGGATCTCAGTTCTATGAGACCCAATTATGCAGATACTACATCTGAATGTTTTATTCAAAAGCAACTTTGTTTTTAGAACTCATCCAACATGAAATTAACTTCAGTTGCAGAACAATGGTTATATCACAATCTTGGCAAATGTTATGAAATTAGAGGGATAATAAAATCATATTTAGTAAAATATAAAATCATCTTCACAATAGAATGTGTCTTTTAACACAAGTACTAGTAATGTTTCATTTATCAAGTAACCATGTAAAAAATGTCTTACCCAACAAAAAGTTATTCTGAGATGTAGACTGACCATACTGTTCCTCCATGTTTTTAATCACATAAGTAAGAGAACAAATGTAGCTGCTCGTGTAACAATGTGAAAAGCACAAATATAACATATGGGGGATTGGTAAGGATACTTTTCAAAGACTGTAAAAAACCTGTAGAATTACAAAAGTGAACAATGTTTCAATGCAATTTAAATACATTAATATTTGAATTTTATAAATGTTATATAAGATTTAAAATTACAAAACTACATAACACAGAAAGAGTATCCTGCAATTCTACTCTTAACAGTTTAAATATACTTCTTCAATATTTTTCATATGCCTAATATTATTTATTGGTTTAGTTCATTTTACTCCCAAATAGGATCATACATAAATGCTGTTTTGTGACTTAACTCTGTTCACTTAATATTTGGTTATCCTTAGCACTTTACCATTCTATTACAGACAGATTAATTATTTATTTATTCCACAAATACTTAATTTTCAATTGGGTACCAGGCAATATACTAAGTGTTCAAGAAAAACAAAAGAATCAGAAATGTGATGTTTGCAGCATGCAGTGGCTAACGCCTGGAATTCCAAAACTTTGAGTGGCTAAGGCATGCAGATTGCTAGAGCTCAGGGGTTAGAGAACAGACTAGACAACATGAAAAAATCTCCTCTCTACAAAAAATACAAATATTAGCCTGGCATGGTGGCATTCCCCCATCATTTCAGCTACTTGGGGGGCTGATATGGGAGAATACGTTGATCCTGGGAAATTGAGGCTGCAGCAACTCATGTACATGCCACCGCACTCTAGCCTAGGGGACAGAGCCATACCCTGTCACAATGAACAAGAAGGAAAAGAAGAAAGGAGAAGAAGGAGAGGAAGGAGAAGAAGAAGGAGAGGAAGGAGAAGAAGAAGGAGAGGAAGGAGCAGGAGAAGGAGAAGGAGGAAGAGAAGGAGAAGGAGGAGAAGGAGAAGGAAAAGAAGGAGGAGGAGGAGAGGAGGAGGAGGAGGAGGAAAGAAAGAAATGTGATGTTCCTTATGTATTAGCACTGAATAATATTATTATATTACAACAAAATTGTTAAATATAAATTCAAATTAAGGACAGCATAATCCAAGACACAGAAATACAATCTCCGGTGTTCAAAACTTTTAAAGACAAAATTAGTATGAGGGCTCAGACTTCTTTTTTTCCTGTTATATAGCTTCTGCACCATACAATACAGACCCCTTAAATTTGGCAGTATTATAAATCACCTGTGTTAAGACACAAGAAGGAAAGGCAGGGGATAACAAGGTTGGTCCCAAGGGACATTATGACAGTAATTGTACAACAATGTATGCCTAGAAATAGGTGTGGTAACAAATTTCTAACTTCTGTCCGTGGCAGAAATTTTATGATCTAGGTCTCTGATTGCCAGGTCAATCGACTATAATAGAAGTTAAAAGTGGAAGCAACAGGAAGTTTTAGAGTACAGCAAGACAGACCCAGAAATGATTATTGAGAGATGGATCATATGAGCTTTGAAATATCTTGTTCTCTATAGACCTCTAAAGATTTTCAGTAGATATGACCAGTACTAACAGTAATACAATCAGAGGAAAACATTTTTTAAAGAAAGAGTTTCCTCTGATAATAATAATACAAAAGTCAGTTGAGGAAATGGCACAGAACAGAAAAGAGGTAAGAAAATGTATAGCAGAAGTAAACAACATTTAAAATTGTTAGGCCAAAGTGCCAAACTTCCCTCTATTGGTCTCCTGGGTGAGTTAGAACCACCATTGATTTGTGAGGCATTCTAAGAGAGTCATGATCTTTGCTCAAAATGAATGAAACATGTAGATTCACCAAATTGTTACATTTTGTAGTTGATAGCATCTTGCATGCCATCTGGTCTGAACTTCTAAACAATTGTAACTTATTACATATTTTTAATAAACAGATCAATAAACAACTAAAGTGACATTACGCTGACTACCTAAGAACAATTTGTTCAACTTTTGAACCATTCTCATTGTTTACAAATTGTCTTTACAATGAACTGAAAACTAACACAATTAGTCTTAGTTTTAATCAAGAACATATAGAATAAATTCAATGGGGTTTTTCTTCTGACTATAGGTACTTATGTATGTTATCCATTCCTGACAGGCACTTATTAACCCCTCCCCCCAAAAAAAAACCAGCTCAAAATATAGACAGTGTTGCAATTGTCCCATTTTTGCATCTTCATTATCCTCTTTATTATTTTTGAATTCATGTGAACTCTGGCTTTTATAGGTTTGGAAAATCCATTAATTATGAATTCGATTAGATAAAGTAGAAACAAAGCATACACAAAACAAAAATTCCTTGATATGCTATTTTTAGTATGCTTGTTAAATTAAGAAAACTTAGAACAGTGGTGTGCTGGTAAATGTTTAACAACTGATTTGTTGGGAAACACACTTGATTTGTAGAATTTCTCAATTTCCTTAGTAATGGATGGTGGTAAATTCTACCATGGACAATTTCAAGCTACTGATGCAGCCGAAATTGAACAACCACTCTGATGAGTGAATGGATACACAAGGCTCTAGCATCTCATTGAACTTGGGTTAGTGTGGTGGAGAGGAGAAAATAACAACAACAATAACAAATGGGAAGTGAAAGAATTGATGAGAAGGAGAACATGGGTTATCCTGGAAAGTTTGTAACTTTAATTCAGTAAAAATGGAAACATTTGCCAAAGGTTCAGGTGTTGGTTGGACTACTTTGGGTTTTATGTTTTCACCATTCCATCCCAATCTGAAAACTACTGTCAATACCTTACCATTTCAAATATTTTACTCTGACTGCTGCCAGATCTTCCTCTTGATTGCATTTTTTCGGTGGTCCTTCATTAGCTCTCCCAGGCTTATATTAAAAAAAGGAGCCACTATCAAGTGGTAAAGGATCCTGATTCACATTACTGACTTCAATTACTTTAATTACAGCTATTGTTTCCACTAAATTTTTGTATACTTAGGTAGGCTATTATATATATATACATATATATATATATATATATGTATATATATATACACACACATATGCAATTTTAATTAACAAGAAAAATTATCTTACTCCAATTACCTACAAGAGAAACCTTTCCTGAATTCCTTCTCCTTTTTCCACATTTACATCTGAGAATAGTTAAGTATAACCTTACCATGCTATTTAAGATACTTTGTTACAATGATCTATATACTTCTCAATATTATCCACTAGGTTCTTGAAAAAATAAAAGTAATGTTCTATCATCAGGGCATTGTATGGTGGCTGGTACCATTTGTTGAATAAGTGAATGAATGAAATATTATAATCTTTTAAACCCTCACAGTTTACACTATTTAATATTAAAATAAATATGTACTTTTTGGCTTATAAGAAACAGGTGTTTTATTTGTAGCCTTTGATTGGTTTCTCCCTGCTGAAGAGCAAAATCCTAATCCACTTCTGCTTGTTATGTGCTCAAGAAATATTTGTTAACTTTAGTGTGACTTTTAGAAAAATAATTCAGCTAAATTTAGTGCAGAAGAAAGCTAATTCTTGATGATTTCGGTATGCTTTATTATTTTGGAATACTCATTCCTACCTTTTATTGATATTAACAACTCCAAGTTGACAATGAATGTTAAAAACTTACCAGTCACGTTTTTGGAAATATTTTTTCCTTGGTGGGTCAAATTAGTTGTTTGATTCCTTTTATCATTTGTTTTTCGCACATTCAAAAATAGCGATACTTTCCTTTCTTGCTGTGGTTTATTTGGATTTGAGGGCAAGAAAAAGAATGGTATGGAAAAAATAGTGGATACTAGTCCAGACACAACAAAACCAAGCCACCAAGCTCCAACCCAACGATAGTCCTTAGGAGTTATCTTGACTATGCCTAGAATAAATAGAAGAAGCCAGTCAAAATCATTTTGAAGTACAGTAGGTTCTGGGAAATAATGATTACAGTCCTCCTTAGATGAACAAAGTAAAGTATATGTCATAAATTTTAAAACTCTATTTTTTCTTTTCATATTTTGTTATCTCTGAAATAGGATCAGTCTAATATCTCTGAAACTAGGATCAGTCTAACATTTGATGATATCTTGCAATTACTGTAGACCAGGAATCAGTCATGACATTGTTCTCATTTCCTGAGCTTGAGAGCACTTGGTGGCTTTTCTGATTACATGATGGGATAGCTGTCATTACTGGAGTCTTAATCCCACCAACCATTTAATAACTATTCATGGAAAAAATAGGAATCCTCATTGTTTTCTGAAAATGTGGTGGGCACAGGGGTGCTTGCATTACTGAGCCTCAAGTTCTAGGCAGCTCAGCACAGAAAGAGAGAGATTCCATTTGTTTTGGAAAATTAGGGGAAAAGAACATGAGTCTTTGCCTAGTAATTGAGAAAATTCTTCTGGATATTATCTGAGGCCAGCAAGGCAGTACCTCTACATGACGGCACAAACCACAATATTACCGACCATGGGGTGTTAGTCACTTGAAATACTTAGGAAGCCTACTCAAGATTGATGGGTAAAAGCATACCCAGACTGCAAAACAAGGCCCAGACAATAGTGAACATTTATGAGCACCAAGGAGAAAAACATGACTTCATCAAATGAATTAAATAAAGCACTAGGAATCAATCCTGGTGAAACAGATATATGTGTTGTTTCAGACATATTTCAACATAGCTGTTCTGAGGAAACTCAATGAAATTTGAGATGACACAGAGAAGAAATTCAGAATTCTATCAGATAAATTTAGCAAAGAGATTGAAATAATGAATACCAATACTACTCAAACTATTCCGAAAAATAGAGCATGAAGGATACTTCCAAATTCGTTCTATGAGGCCAGTATTACCCTCATACCACAACTAGACAAATGTACATCAAGAAAGGAAAACTGGTCACTGATCCAAGATGGCTGATTAGGAGCAGCACAGGATTGCAGCTCCCAGTGAAAGTGTGGAGGGTGAGTGGACGCTGCATTTCTGGACGGATTTTTATTGCCCACAGACCAGGAGATTCCCAGGCGGAGCAGCCCCACGGGTCACCAGCATACCTGTTTTGGCTGGCGTGGCATGTCTCCACACAAAATACATGGGTCCGGGTGCCATTTTAGCTGGCGATTGGAGCTCCTGGGAGACAGTCACCTATTCAACTGATAAAAAAGGGGACTGAAACACGGAGCCAGGCCAGGAGATTCCTGGGCAAAAAAAGCGCCACGAATCTCAGTGGGGCTGTTTCAGCCAGTGCAGTGGGTCACTGCATGTGAAATCACACAGATCCCAGTGCCTTTTCAACAGGCGACTGGAACACCAGGGAGACAGGGTTGCCCTTTCAAAAAAAAAAAAAAAAAAAGGGTCTGAGGCAGGAAGCCAGGTGATTGGGCTCAGCTGATCTCACCCCCACATAAAACAGCAATCTGAAATGCTCTGGATTGAGAGTTTCACATCAAGCACAGCTGAACCTGGGATGGTCCAGCTCTGCAGTGGGGAGGGGGATCCATCATTACCAAGGCAGTCCACTACTATAGAGGTAGTCTGCCATTGCCGAGGCATCATGCCACTACAGAGAGAGTCTGCCCTTACAGAGGTGGGCCGCCATTGCTGAAGCAGTCCTAACTATACCTGTATAAACAGGACTGCAGGGAAGTTCACATGGCAGCTGGGCAGAGCCCACAGCAGCTCAGCAAAGCCTCTGTAGGAAGACTGTGACTAGGTTGCCTCCTCGCTGGGCAGGGCAGCCCTGAAAAAAGGCAGCAGCATGACAGAAACTTATAAATAAAGCTCTAACTCCCAGGGATGGAGCACCTGGGTTAAGAAAAAAAAAAAAAAAGGGCATTTATGAGTTCTGCTGCAACAGACTTAAATGGACCTGCCCAGCAGCTCTGAATGAACAATGGAGCTCACAGCTCAGCACTTGAGCTCCTATAAAGAACAGACTGTCTCCTCAAGCAGCTCCCTGACCCCCATATATCCAAAGAGTCACATCATAAAGGAGAGCTCAGACTGACATCTGGCGGGTATCCTTCTGGGACAAAGATAGCAGAAGAAGAAACTGGCAGCAACCCTTACTGTTCTGCAGTCACTGCAGGTGATCCCCAGGCAAGCAGGAGCTGGAGAGGACCTCAGAAGTCCCACAGCAGAGGGGCCTGACTGTTAGGAAAAAAACTAAGAAACAGAAAGAAATAACTTCATCATCAACAAACTGGACGTCCACTCAGAGACCCAATCTGAAAGTCAACAACTACAAAGATGACATGTGGATAAATCCACAAAGATGGGAAGAAACTAGCGCAAAAAGGATGAAGACACCCAAAACCAGAATGCCTCTCTTCCTACAAGGGATGACAACTCTTTGCCAGCAAGGGAACAAGGCTGGATGGAGAACGAGTGTGATGAATTGACAGAAACAGGCTTCAGAAGGTGGGTAATAAGAAACTTCTGTGAGCTAAAAGAACATGTTCTAACCCAATGCAAAGAAACTAAAAAGATTTGATGAAATGCTAACAAGAATAAACAGCTTAGAGAGGAATATAAGTGAATAGATGGAGCTGAGAAACACAAAACAAGAACTTTGTGAAGCATCCACAAGTTTCAACAGCTGAATTGACCAAGCAGAAGAAAGGATATCAGAGGTCAAAGATCAACTCAATGAAATAAAATGAAGCAGCAAGATTAGAGAAAAAAGGGTAAAAAGTAATGAACAAAGTCTCCAAGAAATATGGGATTATGTGAAAAGATCTAATCTACATTTGATAGGTGTACCTGAATGTGACAGAGACAATGAATCCAAGCTGGAAAATACTCTTCAGGATATTATCCAGGAAAACTTCCCCAACCTAGCAAGGCAGGCCAATATTCAAGTCCAGGAAATGCAGAGAACACCACAAAGATATTCCTCAAGAAGAGCAACCCCAAGGCACATAATCGTCAGATTCACCAGGGTTGAAATGAAGGAGAAAATACTAAGCGCAGCCAGAGAGAAAGGTCGGGTTACCCACAAAGGGACACCCATCAGACTCACATCAGATCTCTCAGCAGAAACCCCACAAGCCAGAAGAGAGTGGGGTCCAATATTCAACATCCTTAAAGAAAGGAACTTTCAACCCAGAATTTCATATCCAGCCAAATAAGCTTCATAAGTGAAGGAGAAATAAAAACCTTTATGAACAAGCAATTACTCAATATAGTATTGGAAGTACTAGCCAGAGCAATCAGGCAAGAAAAAGAAATAAAGGCTATTCAAATAGGAAAGGAGGAAGTCAAATTGTCTCTATTTGCAGATGACATGATTGTATATCTAGAAGACCCCATCGTCTTAGCCCAAAATCTCCTGAAACCGATAAGCAACTTCAGCAAAGTCTCAGGATACAAAATTAATGTGCAAAAATCACAAGCATTTCTATACACCAATAACAGACTTAAAGAGAGCCAAATCAAGAATGAACTGCCATTCACAATTGCTACAAAGAGAATAAAATACCTAGGAATACAACTAACAAAGAACGTAAAGGACCTCTTCAAGGAGAACTACAAACCACTGCTCAATGAAATAAGAGAGGACACAAACAGATGGAGATACATTCCATGTTCATGGTTAGGAAGAATCAATATCGTGAAAATGGCCATACTGCCCAAAGTAATTTACAGATTCAATGCTATCCCCATCAAGCTACCAATGACCTTCTTCACAGAACTGGAAAAAACCACCTTAAACTTCATATGGAACCAAAAGAGAGCCCACATAGCCAAGTCAATTCTATGCAAAAAGAACAAAGCTGGAGGCATTACCTTACCGGACTTCAAACTATACTGCAGGGTTCCGTAATCAAAACAGCATGGTACTGGTACCAAAACAGAGATATAGACCAATGGAACAGAACAGAGGCCTCGGAGGCAACACCACACATCTACAACCATCTGATCTTTGACTAACCTGACAAAAACAAGCAGTGGGGAAACGATTCCCTGTTCAATAAGTGGTGTTAGGAAAACTGGCTAGCCATGTGCAGAAAGCAGAAACTGGACCCCTTCCTGATGCCTTACACTAAAATTAACTCCAGATGGATTAAAGACTTAAACATAAGATCTAACACCATAAAAACCCTAGAAGAAAATCTAGGCAAAACCACTTAGGACATAGGCATAGGCAAGGACTTCATGGCCAAAACTACAAAAGCATTGGCAACAAAAGCCAAAATAGACAAATGGGACCTAATCAAACTCCACAGCTTCTGCACAGCAAAAGAAACAGTCATTAGAGTGAATTGGCAACCAACAGAATGGGAAAAAATTTTTGCAATCTACCCATCTGACAAAAGGCTAATATCCAGAATCTACAAAGAACTAAAACAGATCTACAAGAAAAAAACAAACAAGCCCATTCAAAAGTGGGCAAAGGATACGAACAGACACTTTACAAAAGAAGACATACATGAGGCCAACAAACATATGAAAAAATGCTCATCATCACTGGTCATCAGAGAAATGCAAATCAAAACAACATTGAGATACCATCTCACACCAGTTGGAATGGCAATCATTAAAAAATCTGGAGACAACAGATGCTGGAGAGGATGTGGAGAAATAGGAACACTTTTACACTGTTGGTGGGAGTGTAAATTAGTTCAAGCATTGTGGAAGACAGTGCGGTGATTCCTCAAGGACCTAGAAATAGAAATTCCATTTGACCCAGCAATCCCATTACTGGGTATATATCCAAAAGATTATAAATCATTCTACTATAAGAACACATGCACATGAATGTTCATTGCAGCACTGTTTACAATAGCAAAGACCTGGAACCAACCCAAATGCCCACTGACGATAGACTGGACAGGGGAAATGTGGCACATATACACCAGGGAATACTATGCAGC